TGCTGAGAAGAGAGTCTTTAGGGGTTACAGTGAGGCTCTGCACTGGTCCAGCAGCACTCCAGGAGAGCTGAGGGGTGAGATTGAATTTATTTCAGCTGTTAGAAAACTGGTGCCTGAATGAGGTCTCTGTGAAAATGTCAAAAAAACCTTTGTTTGGGTTCAGAAAGTGGGTTATTCTGAAAGAGTGGCTGTTTCTTTTGGAGAATCCCTTTTTTTTTCCCCACTTGTCTTTCAGCATTCTGTACTCCCATATTTACTCTGAATGCAAATGAGAGTTACTTTCAGAAATGATTTAGGTACACATTAGTGCTGGCCAGCTGAGTATGATTCTAGGCCTTCAAATGGTGTCTGGTTGCCTCTAAGTGCCTTACAGGGACATGGCCACAAAGTCAATATAGAAAAGGGAGTTAAGAGTAATTAAATATTTGTAAAATAAATATATATTTGTATATAAACGGATATATTTCTGTGGAAAGAGACGGGGGCAATGTGGTTTGCATTCGGAGTTGTAGCATAAATCTGTATCAGTTGGTTAGTTGGTTGTGCAAAATACCCATTTCCTGGAAGATATGAAGCCAGACCTGGGGAAGGAATAGGATGGTAAAATAGCTCTTTTTTTTTTTTCTTTCCCCTTTCATTGAAAAGCCTGCTGTATTTAATATTTTTGTTTTATATTTTAATCTGGTTATAATTGGGGTCTTATAGTTAGACTGGCAGAAAACTAGGTCTGAATGTTGCAGCAGGCTTTGTAATGCAAACCCTCCCAATTGCCCCTCCTGCTGACATGTCTCTGGGTATAGAGCTGGGTATAAAAACAGCTGTTTTGGTAGTGGTAATAGTGAAATCTGTTAATAAATCTGGGGTTTTTTAACTTCCAATGTAGGGAACGTCTAACTGTTCGTAGTGAAAACTGTTGCTTGAAAACTAACTAGTTCCAAAACCTAGTTAATTACTCTGTGTCCTGCTGATGAACTTTGCACAATGGAACCCTTGTACTGTGTGCCTTTCAAAGCTGGCCTGAGAAATCACCTTAGATCTCAGCTTTTGTTACTGCTTGACTGAAACTCCCATTTTGATAAAGTTTGTGAAACTGGGGGGATGCCTGGCAGCTTTCACGAGCAGAACTTAGCATGCCACACAGGAGGCACGGCAATAATCCATCGTGTTACAACAGGAGCTGGATAAAGAACAGATTTTTTTGCCTTGACAGCAGGGTGACTGGCTTTTGTTATTTTGGTATCCCATCTGGAAGCTTGACAGTTACTGAGGCCATGCAGTGAGCTATGACTCTGCTGGAGAAAGAGGCTATCTCAGTTTTTATTTACGTATTTGTGTGAGTATAAGAGCTGTGACAGGCTGAAGTCAGTTTAGAAGAGTTGCTTGGAGCCAGACTGGGAACCTGAGCTGTTTCATCAATCACTGTTTTGGTGAAGATAAAGGAGACGGGTGTGTGCCTGTGTTTAAAAGGAAGAAAGGCTTTGAACAAACTTCCATATACCTTCAATAACTTTCCTGCCTACCTCGATTCTCAGTTCTGCAATCTTTATGCTAATTGGAACCTTAATGCTTATTGGAATGGTGCAGTTAACCGTGTGGCAGTGTTATAGCTAGAATACTCCTTTAAGCTGTGTTTCATTAGCTTCTTAGTGAGCAGAAAGACACCTAAGCGTGTCTTACACCGAAGGAAAATTAAAGTAGAGGTTCTGGATGCACTCTTTTCGTGCTGTGAAATGTGCTCCTCAGAAGATTTTACCCCCGTTTTTCTTCTTCTGCCTCCATCTCTTTGTGGAGCAGCACTGGTGGCCAGTGCTTTGTAGTTGCAGCATGACCTCAAGCCTTCTCTTTTTCAGTTAGGCAGGGCAGGTTTTGTAGTTGTCACCCACATGACAACATGGAGAGGACACAAGACCATGCCATAGGACAGCTCTTGCTCTCTACACTCACCGAGCTGGAGAAGCTTTAACATTTTGAAGCAGCAATATCCTTCAATACTCTCAGCCTACCTGGCAAAGTTTTCTTACCCAGCTACCAGCCCCAGGCTCCAGCCCCAGTGGTACCGGACTTTGTCCATCCTGAGATGCTCTCTTCCATGCTTCTGCAAAAAGACTAGGCAGGTCCTGGGCATCTACCTGCAGCTTCCCTGCTTTTTTCCCCTTGCTATTGTAAAATCCAAGTTGAAAACTGGTGTCTTCCATTGTATAACCCTGATAATTCTTTGCTTGGAATCATTCTCTGTAGTCTAGCCCAGGAGCAGATCTCTTGGCATACTGCAGCTGCCTCACCACTAGTGAATACTGATTTATTTCCATTCAGTTCCATGTTTACAACAACCAGTGGTTTCCAAGGATAGCCTTTGAGGTTAGAGGCAACAAAACAAGCCTGGAGAAAGTCAGAAGAGGACACCCTGGGAGGAGGAATGCTCTGTGCAGAAACATGGGATATGCTGGGGTGCTATCTAATGCACTTTTGGCCACTTCTTTCTTGTCCTGGAGATGGCCTGTTACTCACAGCAGTGCTTGAGCGTGGTCACCTGGGCCAGGTTGCTTTGGGGTGGATTGTCTTGTAGTTGGTGTTTTTTAGATAATCCCATTACAGAGCAGTAAGCACCTGGGACCTCAGCTACAAAGGCAAAACCCCAGCTTGATCCCTCCAAGCCCAGGCACTCCTTTGAGGTGCATGCCTGTTGTGGAGCCTGGTCTCCTGAGCTTATTTTTCAGTGCCTGTGGAGAGCTGGAATTGTGGAGTCTTAGGTTTCAGGTGGGCTGGTTGCCTCTTGGACAGCTACCTCACTAGCTGCAGAAGAAGCCCTGCTAACACAGACAGCTCTGCTGAGTCTTGAGCTAGAATAGATGCCTTTCTGCTTTCAAACATTTGTGCCGTGGCAGCACTTGGGTGAGGTGGGTGCTTCTGCACAGCACCCACCGACTTAAAATTGCTTGGGATCTAGCCAAGGGCACAGCAGTGGAGTATACAAGAGAGCACTGGTCATGCTTAGGGTTTTCCTGAAGATCCACCAGGGAATCCTCCTGGAAGATGTACTCCCTGAGGTTTGCAAGGACCTGTTGTGTCCAGAGAAATCAGAGAAAATGCTGGTGTTCAAAGGTGAATGCATGATAGAGGTGGTGGCAATTGGATCAGCCTCCTCTGGGGACAAGGGGAACCGTAAGTTAACGAGATAAGTGAGAAGAGGACAAGAACCCTTGGCTTTCCTTCCAGAGGATCCACTCACTGAATCCTCTGTGTAACAAGGAGCTGGGCTTTACTTTGCTCCAGGAATGCTGAACCTGGTTAAACATCCTGTTCAACTCAGAGGCTTTCTTACAAATCTGACTTAGAAGACAGCACTGAGCTTAAAGGACAATATTTGCAGTAGTCCCAAGACACACTGGCATGAGTACAGCCAGTGGTAATAAGAAGAGATAAGGCTTTATTGAAATCATGGTAGCTCTCAGCTCTCTTTACTGTATGAAGCATTGTGAGGTTGGTTCCTCTACCCTTAGGGAAGAGATGATTTTATGCTTCTGTTGGATTTACTTGGCTCTTGTTTTTGTTTTGTTTCTGTCATACTTTTTGCCTTCTTAATACACTTTTCAGAGTTAATCTTCTTACTGGGTAACCATTAAGCTCTTTCATGAAGAAAGTGAACTTAGGATCGCTCTTGGAAAAGGCTGGAGGCAGGGAAGGACAGAGGATGCGGGGGTCTTTCCAAAGGACCAGCTGAAAATGTTTTGCTCATTCCATCACTGCCAGTGCCAAGAGCCATCAGCTGGAGAGGAAGGGGAAGAGGCTTAATGCCTGAAAGGCAAGGAAAGAGCACAGACATGCAGGCTGTACTCATGGATTGCAGTTCCAAAAGGTTCTCCGTTGGCCTTACTCTCCCCATATGACTAGCCTTTGCACTGGTAATTTTTGACAGCTTTCATATGTAGATATTTTACATGTATATCTGTTCCAGACTGGTGAGGCCCTGGCACAGGTTGCCCAGAGAAGCTGTGGCTGCCCCATCCCTGGCAGTGTTCAAGGCCAGGTTGGACACAGGGGCTTGGAGCAACCTGCTCTAGTGGAAGGTGTCCCTGCCAGTGGCAGGGGGTTGGAACTGGATAAGCTTTATGGTCCCTTGTAGCCCAAACTGTTCATTGGCTTTGTGTAATTCTCCTCCTTATATTTGAGGCTGAATGGAATAGTTTTGCCATCAGAATAAGTCTGAAATCAGAAGATTATTTAGAAATCTGGAAGTGAAGAACACCTGGGTTAATTGCAAGGTTGGAACATCTGCTGAATTAAAAGCATCATGTTGCTCTTTCTCCTCTTTAATTTATGGAAAGCAAATGATTGTCAAGCTGAAATAAGAGGAAAAGCCTATTACCAAAATGCAGACTTTGCAAAAATCTTTAACTGTGAATTACTCATAACAAAGGTTGCATCAATAATATTGATTGGGATGCGATTGATGTGCCTGTGAGAGACAAAAGGCAGTGCTCACTCCCTCGATGGCATACAGCGGCTGCTCGGGGTAGGGTGATTGTCATGGCTGGTGGTCTGTGGCAAGGGAAATTGATATGACAGTGGTTTACTGTTGCTTTTGATAGTGAAGAGTTGGTTATGGGCAGTGGCAACACGGTGTGTGGACACCAGAGCCTTGCCAAAGCAGCTGTGCTGTTGGCACATTGTTTGCCTAGACAGGGTAGATTGCT